CGGTCTTGCACTCGTTTCCGCGACGGCGAGGAGGACGCGCGCCATCTTTGTCCCCTGCCCCCGTCGGCGGCCTTAATCCCGCAACCCTTGGCGACGCACCGGAGATTCTTGCAGCAGGGGCGAATCCTGCCTCGGTCGGGCGCTCGGAATTCGGGGTCGTTTGCCCCCGGAATCGGACGGTCCCTGCTCGTTAGCGGTTTCCGGGCCGGTTCCGTTCGCGGGAAGGGCAGCTCTTGCTCGAGCCGCGTAATCGCCGAGATTCGTTATCCCCGACGTCGCTCCTCGTCGCCCTCTTCGCCCTCCTCTCCGGAGGACCGCCCTTGCGGCCGATGGAAGGGACAACTTCCCGGACGGCAGCGTTTTTTCGGGGCTGCGGGAGTCCGCGGGGGTCTGCAGGGGTTAGTCGGGATTTGGCGGGGTTTGCCGGGGTTTGCCGGGGTTTGCCGGGGTTTGCCGGGGTTTGCGAGGCCAGTTACGAGTGCGCCGGCAGGACACGAATAATCGATCGGCGACGAGTCGAGCCTGCCCTGGTACAAATGCGGGATTAGCCTAATGGCCCGGCCGTGTAACGTCGTTAGAAAATCGCCCGTCGACGGTAAACCCGGTCGACCGACCCTCGGCGCTGCGCTCCTGCACCCCTACGCTCCCCTTACTGCAGTTTGCGGCGACACCGTCCTCCCACCCTGGCGTCGCTTCTTCTTCGGGTTTCTTTTCCCTGCGCCTCCCTTTCCGCGCGGAAGCAATTACTCGGCGGATCCCTCGAGGGGCGGCGGGGGCAACGGTCCCCGTTACGTCGTTATCGTGGAGGGGGCGGGAACGCCGAGTCGCGCCGAGTCGCGCCGAGTCGCGCCGAGTGCATCGACGGGGCGAAGGAGGGGAGCGGACCAAAGCCAAGCCGACGCGAGGTTGGACAACCGGTTCGAGTTAACGGTAACGATCGACTCGCGATTCCCGCGAGTACCCCGTTAACGGGAGATACTTATTTTTCCAAATCTACGGGATCCGTAAATTCTCGTTAAACGGGCAAGAAGGGCAGACGCCGCTCCCGGGGAAGCCCGCCCCGGTGACCCGGTGAACCCCGCAAAAATCGTTCCGCTCTCCACACCACCCTCGACGGGGGATCGGCGTCCCGGCGCGCGGCGGATCGAGCAGGGCTAAGAGGGGATCGATAGGCCCGATCGGTTTCCTTCTTCCGGCGACAAAGCCGCTACGCCGGTCCTCGAGGTCGGCTTCTCCGCCCGACGAGACTCCGCTTTGCGAACGTTTGTCCACCTTGTTCCATTTTCCTCCATTTTCCTCGATCCCCTCTCGCGCCGGTCGCTCCGGGAGAGAGATCCATTGTCTCCCTCGGCGAGGGTAATGGTCTTAATTAGACATCTCCCGGTCCCTCTCTGTACATCGCGGCGCTGCAGCCATTCGACTTATTCCGAACTCCTTAAGGGGCTTTCGACCCAATTACCTGGGTAATACGTCGACGTGACCGTCCGCTCCGGATTCGATTTTTCTCTCGATTTTGCCGTTTAGTCGCCTACGAATCTAGCGGAAAAGTCGGGCACGTCGCATAAACGCGTCACTCGCGGCTGGGTGCAGATTTTCCGCTCTTCTCCCCTTGCCTCGGCGAAGAAGGGCGAACTTTCCCCCGACCGCCGTCCCCCGAAGACGAGGCGCCTTTGTTAAGGACGCCTCGCCGGGAATGGAACAAGTTGATAACAAAACGTCACGCCGCGGAATATTAATGTCACCGGTGGGGGTGGCAGCAGGGGAGGGGTGCACCGTAATAAGTCGGCGTATAATGAAAGCCATTTATATAAAAGTTTCTCGCGGCTCGCGACATTTTAATTGAACCCGACTCGTCGGGGGCCCCCGCATCTCGGCGCGTAATCGGGCAAACGAAAGACGCCCCTCCCCTCTCCGCGGGAGGTGGCGTCGAATCGATCTCTTGTCCCTGGATTTCATTATTCGTCCGATCAATTTTTATGCGCTTTCGTTCCTTTTGCTCGCCCGCTCCGTATCTTAGCGGTCCGCGCCGATCACCTTCTTCTTCCTCCGCCTCCGTAGGTTATCAATTTCAACGAGGACACAGCCTCGAGACGTCTTTTGACGGACGCGGGCGCGCACTCGGCGACACGTTTAATTGTATTTCCATCGCGTCGTCCTTAACGGAGCTCGTTAAAACTTTAATGAGCAGCCGACCGATATAAGCTGCGCAAAAATTTAATTACACCGCTTGTTATCGGCCCTCGGGGAGGAGCGAAGGATGGGGAGCCTTGCCGGGTGCGGCGCGGAAGCGTCGGAGCGTCGGAGCGTCGGAGCGTCGGCCGACTCCGGGGTTTCGGGGACGAACGAGAGGCGCCGGGAAAGCCCCCGGCGTGACGGCAGAGCAAACGAGAGTTTCCGTTTCGCGTCCCCGGGTCCCGACGGGAACCGATCGACCCGCGCTCCGCCGAATCCCGGAAGGAGTGCCGATTCCGTTCAACCTCGGGGAGGGCTCTCGAGACCGTGGCGGAATTTCCCGCGGGCTCGTTACTCGCGTTTAGCGCCGCTTTTTCCCTGGACGGAGGGGCGGGGGTTTACGCGCGCATGGACCGGCCTTTATGGGACTTCGATGTCCCTGTAACGCTAACGAATGGCCCTTCTCGCGCGAGCGAGTCGGACCCGCGCCTATACGCCCCCCATAAACGCGGTAATTTCCTGGGCCGGGGGAGGACCATATATACGACTATTATAATGCCCGGTTATCGGTCCGTAGTTATCCTGAGTTATCGTTATGGCTCTTCCCGGAAAAAGAGCGGTCCGGCGAGCGATACGGCGCGGGCGGATCCATCGATTCCGGGCGCGGAGATCGGCCGCGGCGAGAGCGATTCCGATCTCTAGGGGTCGGGGCCCCCCTCGGGTCGCGGTGGACGTATCCCGCAAACCGGAAAGGCGGCACGCCGGAGGGAGGGCGATAAAACGACACGGTAAAATTTCGAGAAGAAGGAAGGGGGCGGAGGCACTTTTCCTCGGCTTCGCCGTGGCAGCAGTTTCCCTCGTAATCCAACGGGACGTTGACTTTAAGAGCCATCCCGGAGAGGGGGTAAAAACATTATTCTCAAAGACGTGCGTCAATATTAACCCTCGTCACTTGCGCAACGTTTCCGCTCCCTCCCGATCCGCGGGACGGTTATTGCGGAAAAGCTCCCTCGCGAGTCTCCTTCGTTTTCCCGGCCGACGGCGGCGAGACGTCTCTGCGCCCCTTCCCTCGACGGGTCGGGTCCGGCGCGACCCGAAGAGCCGCGGATCGGCTTCGAGAGTCGACGGACGTTTCGGATAAGTGGTCGGCTCCGTTCCGGCCATTGTTCGTCCCCTCCCTCGGCCGGCGGAACGGAAAACCTCCGCGGGAAACGAGTTCCCCGGGTCGCGGTCCCCCGACGACCCTCGAGGGTGGCAAGGAGAGCCGGCGCCGGTTTATTTAGTGGCCGGACGCGTCGGGGCGGCGGGGGACGAATTTGTCGGCTCGTCCGGAAGGACCGGGAAGACGGTAGAGACGGCGGTCGTTTCTCCGAGCGAAAGTCGCGCCGGCAATTCTCCATTTTCCGCCGGCCATTTGCCGCGTTTCCGCCTTTCCGAGGGGAAGCGCCCTCGCGGCCGTTTCGCCGCCTCGTTTTCCCGGCATGCATTTTCACGGCTTTTCAATTGTTTTTCCAATCTCCTTTACCGCCCAGCCGTGCATCGCTCGACTCGTGCGGATGCAATATCTCGGCTTTTCCATTTTACCGCCTCTTCCCCCGCGGTTTTCCGACCTCGTACTTTGACCGGCAACGCTTCTCTCTCTCTCTCTCCCTCTTTCTCCCGTCCCTTCGCCTCTCGCTTGCCGGGATCGTTGGTCGGTGTTTCCCTTTAATCCTCGGTCTCGGCACATCCCCGGAGAAACGACCGGGCTTGACTATCAACGAGTAGACTCTCCCCGAGGCCCTCGAGCCGATCGACGGGGACGCCGACCGCGCGCGCTTCCTTCCTCCTCGCCGTCCTCCTCGTCCCGACCGAAGGAAAACTTTCTTCCGGACTCGTCCGGGGGACGGGAGACGCGACGGGAGTCGCCCTGGTGTGCCAGGACGGTCCTGGCCTCATCTCGGCAACGCGAACGACCCGTTTCGGTTCCGCTCGGCCCGGCCGAGGAAGGAAAAACTTTTCGTCGCCGTTCTTTGAAAAGCGCCCCGAGAAATCCGGCAAATCCGGCAAATCCGGTAAATCCGGAAGAGCGGCCGAAGCCGATAAATTGCTCGTGGGCGACCTCGTCGCCCTGCGGCAGAAACTCTCCGGTCCTCGTGGAAACGGAGGAGACGCTTTTTCTTGCCTCTCCTTCCCTTGGAAACGCGTGCGTCGAGAAGGAGGAAAGCGGCTTCGAAAATAGACTCTAATCTCGCCTAACCCAAATAAAAGGGGTGACACGCGACGCAGATGTTATCCGCGGAACGAAAGCCTTCGGCGGGAACACGGAAGGGCGGACGGCGCCGGCCGAGATAATTAGCCACCGCGTCGGCCCACCCTCGAGGGGCGCGAAAGAGAAAACTCTTTCCTCGTTCCCGGCTCGCCCTCGGCCGTGCCCGGAAGCTCCCTGACGTCCCTTCGCACCAGTCGTCGCGGAAACCCGATTCCGATCGTTATTAACCTCCGGCCGAGTCGTTTCCACGGAACTCGCGACGCCGTCCGACCCAATGGACGGAAAGAAAAGGGGAAGAAGCGGCGAATTCCCGTCGGGACGTTCCTCGTCCCTGGAATCCGCCTCGGATTGCGAGGAAGGGCTCGGGGCGAGAGGCGAAAAACCACACGGAAAGGCGTCGTCAGGTCGCGGCGAGACCACAAAGGGCCCTCGACGACTAACGAACGACGCCTCTTCCCGAGCCCGCGTCGCCGTTATCGTCGCCGGCATCCGGCAAGACGGTTTTACGCCGACGCGTCTCGACCGGGCCTCCGGTCGCCGTGTGGCACGGAACTAACGTTAACCCTTCCGCTTGCAGGACCCCCGGAGGAGAGGAGGACCAAGGAGTCGACCGGCCCAGGTCGGGGGATGACCGGAGCCGCGCCGTCCCTCGGCGGGGCGTAAAGGCCCGTCCGTCCCGGGCGCGAGATGTCGGCCAGGTAACGCAGGCCACCCCCGGAGCGCAAACAGGAGGCTCGGCCCCGCCGCCATGGGCTTCCCTCGAAGGAGATCCCTGTGGCTCAAGCTCGCCCTCGTCGCGGGGGTGGTCTGGCTCACCGTGTGCTTCCTCCTCTACACGGAGGACAGGGCGGCCGTGGCCGCCCAGGGGCTCGCGCCCTCGGGGGTCGCCGCCCCTCAGATGGCCAACGGCTTCGTGCCTCCCGCGATGCCGGCCAGGAGGGAGACGCCCGCCAGCGAGCAGGCCAGGGCCAACCGGGCCGAGGCCGGTCCCGAGCAAGGTGGGTGGAGGGCGCGTGGCGGCGATCGGAGCCGGACCGACCAGGGTGCGTTGCTTGCAGGCGGCGGAGTGCTGGCCGCCCCCAGGGAGCCTGACCCCTCGGCCCCCGGCGAGATGGGCCGGCCCGTCGTGCTGCCGACGAACCTCACCGCCGAAACGAAAAAACTCGTCGACGACGGGTGGATCAACAACGCCTTCAACCAGTACGCCAGCGACCTGATCTCCGTCCACCGGTCCCTCCCTGACCCCCGGGACCCCTGGTGAGTTCGGCCGGGAAGAAACTTTTGGCGCCCGCCCCCGAGGCCACCTCGAGGCCGTCCCCGAGGGAAGTCCGCGCTCGGGAAATATGTTTTCCGCAGGCTCGTAAATTCCAGCGCCAACTTCGCCGCGGGCCGCGCCGCGCCCCGCGCGGAGAGCCAAATTAACCCCATGAATATTAATTACAATTTACATGACATTAACCGACATTATCAGGACCGGTGGGCTCGGAGTCTCTCTCCGGGCGAATCGCCGGCTGCGCGTTCGCGTCGAGACCCCCTGCCCCCCGGCGGTACTCCCGGGCGCCCTTCCTTAAAGGGGCGAACGATTCGGTCCGGGGCCGGGTGGACGGCTCTGCCGCTCCGAAGGCCTTGAACTAGGGATGCAAATTTAAGTACGCAAATGCCGGGCCGTTTGGTTTAATAACGTGCTCCTTCGCGCGCGAGGACGCGTTCTCCACGCGGCGGAGCCAATTATCGCGTTACTACACCCCGGGCGGAGTGGGGGCGCGCCGAGGGGTGGTTTGCTGCACATTTGGGGGAAACGAACGCGCCAACTCCGGGACAGATGTGCCCAGCCAAGCTGTCGTCTTCCCGGTAACGTTCCAACCGTGTAAACGCGACGTCGGGAACGCCCGCCTCTCGACTCGACGAACACCCCTCCCTGCATTATTCATTATTACGCGCCGACGACGGACCGATCCCATAGGCCGGAATCGCTCGGGATGACGTCGATAACGGGGAAGGGCCGCAACCGCGGTTTTCTTCGGCGCTCCAGCACGGACCGCTGGAGAAGGTCGCGGGGCGTCGGGGCGTCGGGGCGTCGGGGCGTCGGGCGCTGTTTGCAAAGCTTTCGCTCCGTCGTCCGTAAATCCCGTAAACGAACCTTGTCCTCGAGGGACCCGGACACCGGCCACCCCCGCCCCGACGGAGATTCCCGGCGAAATTGCGCGGACGCGGCTCAAGGGCTTTCCCACCACCGGTCTCCCTCGGCGAGCTCGCGCCTCCGCGCGGAATTCGACTTCGGACAAAATCCCATCCGAACCATTCGACCGAGAGGACAACCTGACGTACGACGGCAGGCTGGGGGGCTCGGGGGGGCGCGGTTTATCAGGAACGCAAGAAATTTGAAACTTGCCGCCACCTCCGAGGTGCGTCGAGGCGGCCTCCGGAATGCACGCGATTCGCGCCCCGGCCCGAGACCATCGGCGGATAATTGGCGAGAAGGGAGACGGAGTCGACCTCGCTACGAGGCTTCCCGGCGGAGCAACTCGAAAGGGTTTGCGCGCGTTCCTCGTGGGGGAGATAAATCGAGGCGCGAGAGAAAGCACGCCGAAGGTCAATAAAGCTCCGGGCTGGGGTGGAAGGCGAGAGGTTTCCTCAAAGGTCGAGGACCGCCGGTGATTTTTTGCGGGTCCGAGGAATAAATCACCCCCGACGGCTGATCCTAAGTGGGGAGGACGGGCGCCCGGTCAGGAACTGCTCCCCGGGGGTGCGATGCACTTTGCGGGGCTGGAAGGGGCTCGGGAAGTAGTCGGGCCGACGATACCGCGACGAGTTTACGAGCCCCGGACGCGCTCTAACGATCGAATTCGAGAAATTGAAGGCTCGTTCGCCGATCGATTCCCTCCCCGCGCCGAGGAAACGGACCGGAAACCCTGACGAGTCCGTCGCCGGGGTCGCTCCCCCGGCCGCGGGAAGAGGGTCGCCAGACTTCTCCGAGGCGTTCCGCCCCATTTGCGGCGATACTCGGCAGCTCTTTCCGCGACTTCGATCTCCCGGATCCTCCGAGAGGGAGAGGTGGACCTCTGCCGATTCTCCCGCTCTCGACTTCGGCAGTCGCGTTTACGCGACGGCCGGCTTTCCGGCCATGGGGTCGGCGCCTTCCGTCGCGGCGGTGGAGAAATTCCGGCTCGGCTTCGATTTCCGCGCGCGGCGAGATTCCCCCGGACCTCGGGAACGCGTTAGGGGTGGGTCGCGCGACGGCCGGGGAGCTTTGAGCACGTCTCGCTCTAATTACTTGGAGGGTGCGCCACGGCGAAGGAGAAAGAGAGAGAGAGAGAGAGAGAGGGCGGGCGGCGCTCGGAACGTTCGCGACGTTGCATAGTCGCAAGAGACGAGAAGAAAGGGTTCAAGTGAAGACGAGACGAGAGGCGAGCCGGGGGGCGAGAAGCCTCCCCTTTTGGGACGCGTGGGAAGAGTTCTTCACTGCGCGTTCCCTTCTTCGGCCCGCCACCCTCCGAAGAGGGAAGGGACGGCCTCGACGCGTCCGGAGGAAAAATCCCTTCACCCTTTTTCCCGAGGGCGGCCGGGATCGACTTCCGCGAAAATCGGCGACGAGCGGCAGGGAAAAATGAAACATCGCCGTTACTCGATTCCGGACCGACGGAGTCGATCTCACGGTTCTCCTCGAGGAAGAAAGGCAAAGGTGTGTAGCCCCACTCCCTCGATTCGTCTCCCCGGGGCTGTATAAAGGAACCGCCGCCCCTCCCCTCGGGGGTACGCGCTCGAGAGTAACAACGAACGAGAGATCGCGGGCGAAATTGGACGGCAGGGTTGCGGCAGATCGGGGCGGAAATCGAATTACGATTGGCCGCTCCGAGAGATCTCGCGATCGATCGCCGGCTTATCCGAGGCGAGGCGATAACGAGCGGAATTGCCGTCTTCGAAAGGAACCCTCTTCCCCCGGGGAGGGGCGCGCCGCGACGCCTTCGATCGGGGCCCGAGGCCGCGAATTAATTCGAGGCACGAGCTGCGTAATCGGGCATGCCCCGGAACTCGGAGTTTCGGTCGTGTACGCAGGCCGCGTAAACGCAAATAATTTCCGCGGGGCCGTCGACGCGGCGGCTTTACGGGCGCTTTAATTTACAACGTCAGCCGCACCCCGATCTTCCGTTTCGACTCGCCGCCGCCCTTTCGCCGCCTTCCCCGAATCGCGACGGACTCGAGAGAGGCGCCGCGGTGGCTTTTGCCACGTGGCGGTGCGATCATTTCGCGACCGTTCCGTAATCGGCCCCGAAGAGGAAAGCGCAAAACGACGTTCTCTCGATCTTTTCGCAAGGGTTTGTTTTACGGCACGGCATAAAATCCCGGAAAGCCGGGGAGGACCGTTCTCGAGTTCTGCGGCGCCGCGGTCGAGAGGGTCGCCGCGCGCTCCTTCGGGCTCCATTAGCCCGGAATCTCTTCCGCGGCTCGGGAAATCGTCGGCCAGCCGAAGGAAAGAAGGGAAGGGTTGGCCCCCGGCCAAGCCGGAAGCGGTTCTCCCGCCCCGTTCCGCCCTCGTCGGTCAGCGACTCGGTTCCTCCCGAGCGGGCACGAAGAAGAGAGTCTGGTCGAAACTCGACGGCTCGGCCCGGAGCGGCGACTCACCGATGCGATTCCCCTCCAACCGGAGGTGCGAACCCGATCTCGTTCCCTCCGACGCCGAGAACGCGGGTTTTACCGCTGGAGGCGCGTCCCCGGGGAACTTACGAGCTGCATATGGAATTCCTCCCGCCCTTTCGCCCCCAGTGGGAATCGTCCCCAGGGACCCCCTTCCCTTTTCCCGAAGGCCGGGTGGTATCGCGAAGGGCGCGTTATGCCGAGGAACCCGGGAAAACTCGCCGAGGTCACGTACCGAGGTCCCGCCCTCGTTTCGACGAGTTTCCCTCTCCTCGTCTGCCTGTATCTATCAATTTATACGCGCGCATATATCGAGAAGCCTTTCGGATGTCGGCGGGATACCTCCGTGTAATAAAATAAAGGGTGGTCGGGGGAGCCGCGAATAAACTCGCCCCTTCTCCGGTTATCTCGCCGGTGCGGTCGGAGCGGGGAGGGCGAGAAAAAGTCCCTTTGGAGACGGCTAATCGCGCCCGCGACTCGACTCGGTCCCGTTTTCGAGTACTCGCCTCGTCGAATGTCCCGCCGTTTCAGCCCCTTTGTTCGTGCCTTTTGTCTCGGCTCTTCACCTCCGAGACCCGTCAAATGGAGCGGGGCCCGCGGAGGAGGAAGCCTCGGCAATCCGATTTTTCCCGCATCCCGCGTCCATTTTACAAGGGCTCTTGCGGCGACACCCTCCGGAATAAACGTCATCGCGCCCTGCCTTCCTCGCCGCGAGTCGGAGTCGGAAAGGATTCGCTTCGTCGATGTAGGCAACGGATTTCCTGCCCCACGGTGCCACGAGTTGCAGCCGCGCCGCGGGACGCCCGACGAGGAGAGAGGGGACGATCGTCGATCCCGAGGCGCGACTTCGATTCGCGCAAATCGTCGCGGAAGGTCCGGTGCTCGAGCGAGCGGAAAGCCACTCGGCCCGGTTAAACGTTTCAATCGCTTCCGGTCGATCGGCGCGCCCCGTAGCGATACCCACCCCCGGTTCCGGTGACGAAAGAGAGCACCGCAACGCCACCGGTTACAAAACGGAGTTCGAATCGATCGCGGCTCCCCCGCCCGCCGCTTTCCGCCCCCTCCCGTCCCCACCCGTCCCCACCCGTCACTTCCTCCGCTTCGATTCCGCGAGACGAGCCGACCGCCTTGTCGCCGAGATCGGCCGCGAAAATCCGGGACTCGGACTTCCGGGGGCCGTCCTCAGGGGAACGGGGGCGAGGACCGGGATGTGGAATAAATTCGAGCGCCGCGGGTCACTTTCGGGAATCGATCGGGCAACTTCAACCCGACCGGAGTCGCATTGGCAAATACCGAGCGCGGAACGACGTGTCCCGGAAACGCTTGTGGTTGCGGTCTCGGTTCCGGGACGCGTCGGGACGCGTCGGGACGCGTCGGGACGCGCCGGGTCGCGCCCGATTTCGGAACTCGCCGGTGCTCGGCAATGCGTTATACGGGGCGAACCGCGGCCATTATTGCTCTTGGACCCGCGATAATTGCCGAATAATCGCTTCCTGCTCCCCCTGGCGAGTAATTACCGCGACCCCGCAAACGGAGGGCAGAGCCCCCGGGCCCCCCGTGGGAGAGAGAGAGAGAGAAGGCGCGACAACGATCGGTGCTCAACCCGGGTGGTTTTTCGCGCCGGCAGGTGCAAGGAGTCCGGCAGGTACTTGGACAAACTCCCTCCGACGGCCGTCATCGTCTGTTTCCACAACGAGGCCTGGTCGGTGCTCCTCAGGACGGTGCACTCCGTCCTCGACCGGTCGCCGGACCGACTCGTCCAGGAGATCATCCTCGTCGACGACTTCTCCGACATGCGTGAGTAGCCCCTCCGATTCCAGGTCGGACCGCTCGTCCCTCCGTCCGCGGCGGGTCGCGAACTCCCCCCCTCGTCCCGAGGAGGACGGGGTAAACGGAGAGAGGAAGGGCGCGATCCGGATTAAGAGCTCCCTCGTATGACGTCCCTAATTTCCCTGCCCCGGGAAATCGAATTCCGGCTTCCCGGCCCGGCGGTCCGTTTCAGCTCACCTCAAGAGGCAGCTGGAGGACTACATGATGAACTACCCGAAGGTGAGGATCATCCGCGCGCAGAAGCGCGAGGGCCTGATCAGGGCCCGACTGCTGGGGGCCGCTGCCGCCAAGGCCCCGGTCCTCACGTACCTCGACAGCCACTGCGAGTGCACGGAGGGCTGGCTCGAGCCGCTCCTCGACAGGATCGCCCGCGACCCCACCACGGTCGTCTGCCCTGTCATCGACGTCATCGACGACACCACCCTCGAGTACCACTGGAGGGACTCCGGTGGCGTCAACGTCGGGGGTTTCGACTGGAACCTGCAGGTAACCCCCGCCCCCGCCCCGGTCCGTCCCGGTCCGTCCCGCCGTCTCTGACACGCCTCTCACGCCTCTCACACTGTCCTCAGTTCAACTGGCACGCGGTGCCCGAGCGGGAGAAGAAGCGCCACCGCAATCCCGCGGAGCCCGTCTGGTCGCCGACTATGGCCGGCGGCCTCTTCTCCATCGACCGGGCCTTCTTCGAGAGGCTGGGCACCTACGATAGCGGATTCGACATCTGGGGTGGCGAGAACCTGGAGCTCTCCTTCAAGACCTGGATGTGCGGGGGTGAGTGTCGCTCGCGGTCCGTCCCCCTGCCCCTCTGATCGGACGCCCCTCCCCAGGCACCCTGGAGATCGTGCCCTGCTCCCACGTGGGCCACATCTTCCGGAAGAGATCGCCCTACAAGTGGCGCAGCGGCGTCAACGTGCTCAAGAGGAACAGCATAAGGCTGAGCGAAGTGTGGCTGGACGAGTACGCCAAGTACTACTACCAGAGGATAGGCCACGACAAGGTGAGCGACCGGCCGCGACAGGCCGCGACAGGCCGCGACAGGCCGCGACCTCGGACCCGCCCCGACTCCCCGCTCCGCTTCTGCTCGCAGGGTAACTACGGGGACGTGTCCGACCGAAAGGCCCTCCGGAAGAAGCTCGGCTGCAAGTCCTTTAAGTGGTATCTCGACAACGTCTACCCGGAGCTCTTCATCCCGGGCGAAGCCGTGGCCTCCGGCGAGGTGAGAGTGGGGGGTTCCGTTCCGAGTAGGAGATCCGACGCCGTCCGCGCGTCCCCTCCGGGGTCCCCTTCCGCGCGGACGTACCTTGTTTGCAGGACGCGCGCTCGGCCGGAAGGAGCCGCGGCCTTCCTCCCGGTCGGTCGCCGTTCGTCGCTAACCACGAATGCTCCACTAACCACTAGGTCCGTAACCTCGGCGAGGGCGGGAACACCTGCCTGGACTCCCCTGCCCGCAAGGCGGACCTGCACAAAGCGGCCGGACTCTACCCCTGCCATCGCCAGGGCGGCAACCAGGTACCTCCACGCGCGAGTCGCTCCCGGCGACGCTCCTCGACTGCCGACTCTTCGAGGAGAGTCGCCGGCCGCGCCGACGCGGTTTTCCAGAATCGCCGATCGGGTCCGCGCGCCGCGGCGCGGCCCGAGAGGCGCGGCCCGAGAGGCGCCGCAGGGACGAGGAGCGACGGAGCGAGAGCGAGAGAGCGGGAGAGGGGCGACTCGACGAGTCGTCCGGCCCCCGGGAAGGGCCGGTCGGATTCCGAGGCCCGGTAACCACAGGAGATTCCCTCTTGAATTTTCACGCAGATAAGGCAACCCGGTAGCGGCGCGTGCATCGACTCGCCAGGAAAGCCCGAAGACCTCCACCAGCCCGTCGGCCTGTACCCCTGCCACGGCCAGGGTGGCAATCAGGTACTCGGACCGCTTCCGAACGCTTCGGGGTCTTCTCACCGGTGGCGGGTCTCGACCCTCCCAGAAGGGGTTGGCGGCACCTTCTCTCGCGATCCGAGTCGGGGCGGCGCGAGAAGTGCGTCCGGAGCCAATTACTCGCTAACCGGCTACGCGCGCGACCAAAAACGCAATCACTCGGCACGCGGAACGACTCGTTTTTGCCGTCCGACCCGCAAAGCGGAGCCGCTTTAATTCCGCTGTTCGCCCCGGCAATTAAGCCGCCCCCGCGGTCCCGCGCGCCAATTACTCCGCCTTCGCGTCGCTTCGCGTCGCTTTGCGCCGCGCGGCCCGATTCCGCTCGCGCCGGCGACTTTTCGGCCGCAACCCCCGATCCACCACTCTCTCTCTCTCTCTTTCTTACTTACCTCCCTCTGCCTCTCTCGCTCTCTTTCCACCCGACTCTAACGTACCCTAAGATGGCATTAACCGGCGGCTACGCCGAGGAGGGCTCGCCCTCGATCGACACGCGTTTCTCGGCGTAGCTCGCCAAAAGAGGCCGCGAAACGAGCCGGAGGAGCGCTCTCTCGGCGCTACGCTTTCCCCTTCGAGGAATGACCGAGAGAGAGCTTCTTACGAGGCCCGTCTTCGGCATTTCGGGGGCTAACCGAGATTTCGTTGAACAGTACTGGATGCTGAGCAAGACCGGAGAAATTCGCCGCGACGAGTCCTGCCTGGACTACAGCGGGACGGACGTGATTCTGTACCCGTGCCACGGCAGTAAGGGGAATCAACAGTGGACGTACAACCCCCAGGTGAGCCCTACCGCGACCGCCCCGAGTCGGCCCGTCGGCCCGTCGGATAACCCAACTTTTGTCTTCGCAGACGAAGCAGATCAGGCACGGAAGCAGCGACAAGTGTCTGGCCATCACCGAGAGCAAGCAGCGACTGCTCATGGAGGAGTGCTCGTCCTCCGCCCCCAGACAGAGATGGTCCTTCGAGAATTACGACCCCTCGAAGCTGTGACATTCGGCTTGGCCCCGGCCCGACCCCGTCGCCAAGACCCGCTTCGGCAGATAGGCGGAGGCCCGGACCTCCCGCTTTAGGATTCTGTAAATAATGCCCTGGACAGAGGTCGCGTTTACAGGGAAGCAGTATTACCGGGAGTTGCGGCCCGCAACGGGTCCGGAGAAGCGACGTCGCCGCCGGAAGACTGGCCATCTTTACGGAAAATTGGCCAGGAATTCGGCCCAGGGGGACGAGATGAGAACTTTGACGGGCCGATCGTTTGGTCGAGTCCGGAGCTGCCGACGAAGGGGCCTAAAGAAACGATCCCGCCCGACTCCGAGTCCAGTTCCGCTCGGACTTCCCAGTATTAAGGGAATTTCAAAGGGGGCTGCCGCGACCCCCGCTACGTTTTGTACATTCCTTGTAAATTAATACGTTTCCACGGACTCGGTGCACTTCGCGTTGCGTTTACGCGAGGGCGATGCAGATCTCTATTTAAATACGTCGGACTCTCGGCTTGCTCGGGCACCGAGGACCGGCGAGCGCGATCGGAGCTTGGAGGTTCGGCCAACGCGCACCCTAAATTACCCGAAACGTCCCGGAAGACTCGCGATCCTAGAAACTGCCCGAGAACCCGACCCTGATCGTAACTCGTTCAATCTTGTATAATCCGGAGATCGATTGCCGGTTTATTGCTTCCATTTTTTTTTATCTTCGTTTCATTAAACGGTTTCCGAAATAAAGCGCATTGAAATAGGAACCCAAGTATACCCGCCGAAGTCCGTATTTTTCCTCGAGCTTTGTTCGCTGCCGTAAGCACGGATGCAAAAATCAATCGAGGGCGCGTGGGTGCGTGCGCGTGTGCACACGGAGCGGTCCACCCGAGGGTACAGCCTCCGATGAGTTCCCTGCTTTTCCCGAAAATCGCGGAAAATCACTGAAATAATCGTAATCTCGGTCTCTTTCAAAATCGAACCTCCAAGCTTTCCATCGTATCTCGGAATGAGAATATGTCATAAAGTGGACCCTTTGAATTTTTCAAGGAAACTTCTTGAAAATAAGAGATACAGGCGAAAAGAGAAAAGAGATAGTCCAAGTAAACGTCGCCAGTAGCACGCAAAACGACTCGATTCAACCGAGGAAACAATCGGGAGTATTGTAATCGATTACTACTGCGCTATCGGGTACCGTCATCCTACCGGAATTACGTTTCGCGGAACGAAGCAGAACGAATCCGTTAGAATCGTAAAAAGGCCCAGAGAGAGGGCGGTGAGGGACATGGGCAATGAGAAGTCTCCCGGTCTCATTCGGAGTGAACAGCGACGCATTTCTCCAAGTAAATATACATAATATAAATAAATAGATAAAGATATACACACATATGACGTTTTCTACATTTGGTAAGGATGTAGCATATCATAAGAGAAAGTGGACATTTACAAGCGACGACGCGGAGCCTCGAGGTCTGCGCGTCGGACGTTTAATTAAATGTAATATCAAACGTGCCTTATTTCGTGTATATACATGTACGGATTTATGATTATCACCGATGTTATCATTGCGAACTCCTATGGTAATCCACAGGCATTTGTGTTTAAATAAATCGATGTTGTTTTACGTTAGGACGGTTCTACTGATTGTTCAAGATACTGACGAACCCTGATCAGCGCTGCAAAAGCGAAGCTCCTTGGTGGGAAGGGGAAAAAATATAGTTAACGGGTACCTTCTAAACCCCGTTAAATCGGTGCAGATATTTCGAAAAGATTTTAAGGCTTGTACGATACTCTACACGCTGCAGAGAAGTCGCTAATCCCTCAGCCGACGACGAGAAACGAGAACGAAATCGCTCGTTATTTTCGCGCAGGCGTTCACGCGCCATATGAATTTGCCCCCAGGTGATTCGCTTTCGGAGCTCCATCCGCGACCCAGAAATTGAATAAATCACCCGAAACAAGCCAAAGAAGAAATTTCGACCCTTCGATGAAATTACATACTAGATCCCATGATATGCGTTGGCGTTACGTGTCATAATTACTTAAAATGATCCCGTCGAAATGCGTCTCATTAGTTTTACCTTCAACGTTAATACACTTTTAGCAGAGATAGGTGGTTGGGAGATTGCTCACGGGCAGGGTCGCGCGATCGCATCGTGTGCTGCCCTCTGGTTTCGTACGTTAGCTTTCACCGCTTTTGAAGCTCGCGCACTCGCGATTGCGGTACCATCTACCAGTTGCCGTCGGCGGCTCACGTATTCGCGATGGTAATACCATGCAGCAGTTGACGGTGGTAGCTTACCTACGCTTACCAAGACTACTCGCTTTTGATGGTAAGGGAAGAACACTCGTGACGCTTCATTTGACTTTATCTACTTATCTACTACTATTAAGTACATTGCTGCCTCGAAGTCGACGTGATGCGGAGCTTTGGGGCACGCGTCGGTGTCGCGTACGGAACTCTCATGCAGCGAATCTGCGTGAGTACGATCGGTCCTAGAAATCTTCGCGCGTCCCAACCAGCCAAGCGCCAAGCTACGGGTCGAGATGTGAGTATATGGTGCGTTCGACGAGTATGCGTGAGAGTCGAATACTGCGAAAATCCTCCCGAGGCTTATCTAACTGCGGATATAAGCCGAATCGTTTCGCGTATGATTTTTACATTTCCCTACTAGCGTTATTGAGCGTTTTTCGACAGTTTTCGAACGTTTTTTGACCGTTTTCGAGTGTTTTCACAGCGTTTTCGAGCGTTTTCGCGCGTTTTTCAAATGTTTCCGAGCCTTATCGCAGGCTGTACAATGCCGTTGAGTGTTGTTAAGTGCAGTAGAGTCTCGTAGAGTCCCGTAGAGTCCCGTAGAGTCCCGTAGAGTCCCGTAGAGTCCCGTAGAGTCCCGTAGAGTCCCGTAG